AATAGCAACAGTCATTCAAATGTAGATACCATGGAGCACTACTGTGTTAGGAAGGCACAAAATATGTAAATTTAAGTAAGAGATGACCTTGCCTCACAGAACTCAATCTAGTAAGGAGGCAGCCTAATAAACCAATGATCACAATATATTATTGTGACATTGAGAGAATGGAGGTATGTAATGGATAGAAATAGTTTAAGTCCATGCTGGAGGTGAGCGTTAGAAATGAGTTAGAAAGCCCATGGGGACAGTACTGAGAACATATTGATAAGCCCAAGAACACTACTGTTATTGTTGTTGTTGTTAGGTGCCTCTTTGTCCAATACAACACAAAGACACTCTATGAACAACTGACCTGAACTGTCCTATCCTGTGCCATTCTCACCATCTTTGACACACTCAAGCCCATTGCTGCAATCACTCTATCAATCCACTTGGTTGAAGGTCTTCTTCCCATTCCCTGACCATTCACCTTTCCACACATGATGTCCCTCTCCAAGAAATAACCGCTGCTACCAACTTGTCTTTGTAATCATTTGTTATGTGTCAGAGTTGGACAATGACTAGGGAGGACAGGAGAATTGATGCCTTTGAGCTGTGGTGCTGGAGAAGAGTATTGAGGGTACCATGGACTGCTAAGAAACCAGATTCATCCTGGAGAGGGTTAAACTGGTCTGCTCCTTGGAGGCAAGGATTCTGAGGCTTCGTCTGACATATTTTGGACATGCTGTGAGGAGGGACCGGTCCTTGGAGAGGGACGTCATGCTTGGTAGGGTGGAAGGACAGCGCAGGAGGGGAAGGCCCTCTATGAGATGAATTGATTCAGTGACTGGGGTAATTGGGGTGGGTGTGTTGGAGACAGTGTGATTGGCACAGGACAGAGCAAGGTTTAGGGCTGTTGTACATAGGGTCGCTATGAGTCACAAGTTACTTGAGGGTACATAACAATAACAGCAACATGTCTGAAATATAGGAGATGAAGCTTCATCATCTTTGCCTCCAAGGAACACTCTGGCTGTACCCTCTCTATGACATATCTGTTTCTTCTTTTGTCAATCCATGGGATCTCCAGCACTCTTCTCCACCACCACAGTTCAAAGGCATCAATTCTTGTCATCCTTCATCACTGTCCAGCCCTCAGAAATGTAGCAAGTGACTGGATATACCATGACCTGAATCAGGCACACCTCAGAGCACCAGTAGGAGACATTCATTCATGCACATGACTTTTTTCTTCATTGTAGCATGCTCCATTTTTTTAATGCTGGTTTACATACACAGTTAATAAAATTCGTATACATTGTTTTTCACTTGTATCTTTCCCCATTCCTCCCTCTACCCATCAAATTGTGTGCCTCTTGACTGGACCATCTCATGTTATCTGTGGTTAATTTTACCCTGTATGTTTGTTTTGTTATTCACTGTGAGCTCTTTGGGGTCAAGGATCATCCATTCTCCCTGTACCTATGAAAGTGTCCTTTCTATATTAATGTCTTAAAAGTGCTAAAAGGAATAAATGAATTATAAAGACAATGGTGAAACCAATTTTAGTGATAAAGGTAGTGAAATATTTATAGCTTCAAAAACCAATTGGAAAGCTAGAAACAGGTAGCCCTTATGAGAAAACAGTATTCATCTTGATATGGAGTAATAGCCACTATTCTAGAATATATTACAGTGTGTCAAGCCTCAAAACTGTTTGTAAGGTGCGCTTTTCTTGAGGCATACTAATTTCTAATGATTGACAGTTTCTAAATCCATTTACAAGTGTTCTAAGTGGCTCAGTGTAGTTCTAAAACAATAGCCTGTTGTTCTGACACACATCCTGGCAGAAGGGAACCATGCCCCTCAAAGCAGAGAATAGAAATAGCTTTGTCTCAACAAAAAGCCGTAACATTTGTATGGTGGTCTGCAGCATATATAAACCTTCATGTGTATCATCAAAGAACAGCTGCAAGTTCAAATCAAAGGAGAGCCTGTGTGCTGCTGACCCATGACAGAGACTACTGGTCACTCATCTTTCTCTTCCACTGAACTTGTATAGGGAGAGGCTGGCACCAGCTGTTTCATCCTCTTTGATGCAGATATGAATGTAATTTAGAGTCTGATAGCAAAGGTAACATAGCCGTGTGGAATGAGTCCTCCCCTGGGAGCAACGTGGGCTTTGTGAATGACCATTTGGGAGGGCAGTGTTTCCCTCTAATGAATGGGAAGCATGAAGTTACCTACTGCAGTTGGTTGGTTTAAGGATCAAATGAGATTATCAATAAATAGTTGAGCCTCTTCTGTTATTCAGGCATTGTATTTAGCATAAGAGATACTGTAAGTAAATATACTGATTTTGCCTCTCATGAAGGCTAGCTAGTGGAGAAGACAACTATTAAGTAAATTATTACAAAGAATGATTTAGTCATGCCAGATGCCATCAAGGAGAATCACAACATGTGTCACGAGGGAGGCTGTGCAAAGTTTGGGGTGGGGTTGGTGGACCTTGGCCTAATCTGAAGGTTGTAGAAATGATGTTATGACTATGAAGTGGATGCATCTTGTGATGTGGAAAATGTATGCAGCTTGAAGATTATATTGATGTTATTTCTCAAAGTCCTGTGATTTATGCTGCCTTAGCATTACCTATGGAAAATAGTTCTTTCAGTATTTTTTTTTTTTGCTCTATTTAAGGAATTTCAGGAAGGGGAGGTAGAAACTATTTTACCTATTTATCATTAGAATTATATCTATTGGTAAAAGGCTTAGAAAATGACAACTCTCAGTGACTTACATAATATTATATTTTATAAAGGAAAGAATCAAGTCCAAAGAGATTATGTAAGTCTTAAAAGTTGTGCAGTAAATTTCCTTTGCCTACCATAATACAGTTCTTGATTTCATTAACAAAGAATACCTAAATACCTTCATTTGAATCTTGAACTGGGAAGGGTGAAGATTTTTTTCTCTCCTTGTCTTAATGGATGAAATGCCAACAATGACAATAATTATTTGCCTGTATGCTAACTTTGGTAATACAACATTGTGGCTAAGAGCATGGACTTTGGAACCCAGCTGTGAGTTGGTTCTGATTCAACAAACAGCACGCAACAGCAACACACGTGAGTTAAGCTTGAAACATAATAAATGCTCGACACAAGCTTTTTCTTTTTTTTTTAAAATTTAAATGTTATTAATTTCAGTGAAAATTTACAGAGGCTTTGGATTTCCATTCATTGTTGTAGATTTGTTCCCTCCCAAGGCTACCCCACACCCCAGAACACTAACCTCTTGGAAAAGTAAAAAAAGATTCTTTCATTGTTTTACAAAACCTCCCCCAGGTCCACTCCACCATGTAGCCATCGCTCTATACTCCTGTCATGACAGAAATACCTAATCACATATCTCTTTTAAACAGTTTTCTCCCTCCTCTGTTTCAGTGCAGTATACATTATTGAACCCATTACTCAGTCTCTCCCCAACCCCGAGGTTAGTCCCATTCTACAACAGTGGCATCATGTAATATTTGTCCTTTTGTGACTGGGATATTTCACTCAGCATAATGTTCTCCAGAGTCAACCATTTTGAATAATATTGCATGAGTTCCTTGTTTTTCAATGCAGCATAGTATTTCATTGTGCGAATATACCACAGCTTCTCTATCCATTCGTTTGCTGATGGGCACTGAGGTTGTTTCCAACTCCTTGCTATTGTGAACAAAGCTGCAATAAACATGGGTGTGCATAAATTTTTTCTTTCTTAAGAGTAAAGTTCTAAAAATCCAAAGATCCAAAGGGTGGCTTTTGCCCAGGGATAGATCACAAAAGGCATGACGGTGTAAGGTAGACTGAAGGAAATGAGAATCCCAGGGAGGTTGCATGAAGAGTGTGGTTATATTATGACATGTCATAAATGAATGTGTATGGATGGTGAATGGAAAGGAGTGTCTTATATTAACTAGTGCTACTGTAACAGAAATACTACAAAAGGATGTCTGTAACAAACAGAAGTTTATTTTCTTGTATTGAGTGTAAATTTTGGGTGCTAACTCTGGAGGAAGGCTTTCTCAAGAGCTTTGCCGACCTTGGAGGAAGGTCTTTTGTCCCTTTCGAGCTTCTGTTCTTGGACAGTTTCCATATGTCTTGGTATCTGTTTTTCCTGCCCCCATCTCTGTGATAAGGCACTGGGAGGTTCCTGAACCTGGTTCACTGGCCTGGCTCAATTTAGAAAGGGTACCTCCCGAAATGAATGTTACCAGAACAAAGGAAGAACATTTAACACAGACACAAGGATAGTTAAAAGACAGGAAAGTTTATTAAAACAGAGAACCACTCTCAGAAAGAGGGAGCAGGTCCATCTCTGGAATGGAGAGGTGAGAAGGAGCCCTGACTTCTTCCTGAGCTTCCAGATAGAGGCTGATTAGATATATTTTTTTATTCCACTCAAATACTCACACCTCCTCCAACAGTTGGAGTAAGGTCCTCTGCAGGTTCTTTTTACACCTTCTGCAACACTGGGGCAGTTGGAACAAGACTCTTGGATCAGGTCTGGTGTTGGGAGGTTCTGATTGGTTCCCTTTGTTGCCTTTTCTCATTCTTGGTTCTTCCTCAATCAGTAGTCACCGTTTTCCTTCTGGTCTCTGTGACTCTAACGCTGCTTGTTTTATTTTCCTCTATATCTCAAAAGAAAGTAAATCAAGAAATATCCTATACTAATCCTTCCTTGTTGGTAATAGCAAAGATAATACATTCCCAAATGAGGTATTGATTTAGGCATTGAAATTAGGAACCAACACATATTTTGGAGGTTTCCACAAGAAATAAACTCTTAAATAATCCAACAAGAGAAAAAAACCCAAATAAACCCAAGACACAAAACAAGCTTCTTGCCCAAAAAAATCCAACAATTTTTTTTAAAGTTTAGTTTTTTAAAATGCAACAGGAAATAAACATGCAATTTTATATCCACTTTTTTTACTGTTTCGCCAACCTGATCATTCTTCTGTGCCTTTGCAGCTACAGATCTGGGACACAGCAGGTCAGGAGAGATTTCGGTCCATTACCCAGAGTTATTACCGAAGCGCCAATGCCCTGATCCTCACCTATGACATAACCTGTGAGGAATCCTTCCGTTGCCTTCCAGAGTGGCTTCGGGAGATTGAACAATATGCCAGCAACAAGGTCATCACCGTGTTAGTGGGTAAGTAAGGACTAATGAGGCGAGAAATGGATTTGTGAGCATCAGAATTTTTCATTTAACCAAGCAGTGTGCCTTGGAACCTTCTTAGGACATAGTCTGTAGCTACAGAATTCATGCAGTTAATTTTCACCTCTACCATTGAAGAGAAAATGAAATGGGCTTTATCCCTATCCCATGGTGACAGTGTACAAAAGTAGAGTAGAAAATACTTGTTGATTGGTTTTTCTATGGATGCAGGCTCTAGCGCAGAATTTGAATTGTCATGAAAGTTATGTGAACTGCTATACATTAAAAAAAATCTCATCACAAGTTCACAGAAACTGTTGTAGAAGTAAAACATGTCTCTTAAGGTAATGTAAAACTCATTATTGAAGCAGTTTTTTACAGCCTGAAAGACTTTTCATATTTTTTTCCTCATCCTTACATATATGCTGATTTGAAAAAGAATCCACTAAATCAAACATTTGATTGTGCTAATGTGAAACCTATACTTGGGCCAAGAGGCAGTCGTCAGAACAGAGCAAGGAGACACTACATGGTTCAAAATCAAGAAAGGGGTCCGTCAGGGATGTATTCTGTCTCCATATCTTTTCAATCTGTGTGCAGAATAGATCATGTGAGACACTGGGCTGTACAAGGAGGAATGTGGCATCAGGATTGGTGGAAGAATCAACAACAACCTGCATTATGCAGATGACACAACCCTGCTTGCTGAAACTGAGGAGGACCTGAAGCGCTTGCTACAGAAGGTCAAGGACTGCAGCCTCCTATATGGATTGAAGCTCAACATCAAGAAAACAAAGATTCTCACCACTGGGCCAATTGGCAGCATCAGTATGGATGGTGAAGAGATTGAGGTAGTTAACAGTTTTAGTTTACTTGGCTCCACAGTCAACACTCTCAGTAACAACAGCCAGGAAATCAAGAGACGAAGTGCATTGGGAAAGTAAGCTGTGAGGGACCTCTCAAGAGTACTGAAGAGCAACGACGTCAGGCTGGAGACTAAGGTGCACCTGATCCAGGCTATAGTCTTCACAATTACGTGCTATGCATTAGAGTTGGACAGTGAATAGGGATGATAGAGAATTGATGCCTTTGAGCTGTGGTGCTGGAAAAGAGTGTTGAATATACCATGGACTGCTAGAAGAATAAACAGGTTTGTCCTAGAGAAGGTGAAGCCGGAATGCTCCTTGGAGTCAAGGATTCTGAAGCTTCGTCTGACATACTTTGGGCATGTTCCAAGGAGGGACTGGTCCTTAGAGTGGGACATCATGTTTGGTAGAGTAGAGGGGCGGTGCAGAAGAGGAAGACCTTTGATGAGATGGATCGATTCTGTGAGTGGAGTGGTGGGAAGGAGTGTGTTTGAGATGGCTAGGTTGGCACAGGATAGAACAGCATTTAGGGCTCTTGTATGTAGGGTCGCTATGAGTTGCAAGCAACTCGATGGCACATAAGAACAACAACAAATCAAACACTATTAGTTTTATCTTGTAGGAAAAGCAGAATCTCTCTCTCTCTCTGTGTAACCCCACAAGATAAAATGGCTTCTTTGGTGACAAGTCCATTAAAAATGAAATTGCAGGAAAATGGACCAGATCATTTAAAAACTAATGGTAATAGAAGTGTTAACAAAAATGCTTCACAGGCACTCATGTGTATCCTAAAGTATAAGATAAGCCAGATAAAATGCTTGATTCTTTTTATTCACCAGATTTCAAGGTAATTAGTTGCTTCCCTGGCATCTTTAAAACAACCATCAACATTTGTAATGTGTTAAATATCAGTATGAACCTATGGATTTAAGTCTCTCTCTCATTGGGAGAGCTCAAAGGAGCTCTGGGGGCTTCCTGTTTTTGTGTACTTAAGTTCGAACTGATCCATAGTAGACCCACCAGCAGGTTTTCACAGGCAGTAAACTGTATGGGAGGAGATTGCACATCTGTCTCCAGGGAGCAGCTGGTAGATTAGAATCTTGTACCTTTGGATTGGTAGAGCAATTTCTTACCACTACTAAACCACGAGAGCTCCTTTCTGGTGGCTTAGTGGTAAAGAATTGCACTGCCAACAAAAAGGTATGCAGTTAGAATCTATGAGCTACTCTATAGGAGAAAGATGGTCGGTCTTCTCCTATGTTATTTACAGACTTTGAAAACCCACTGGAGAGTCAACTATGAGTCAGTTCTTCCCAGATGGTAAACAACAACTTTCTCATTGCCATCAAGTCAGAACTTACTCATAGCTGACCCTCCAGCAGATTCTCGAGAAAATTTCATGAGAGGAGATAGCCTGTCTTTTTCCAGCAGAGAAGCTGGTGGATTCAAACCACTCATCTTTTAGTTGGCAATAAAATCTCACTACCCACCAGAACTCCTTCTATATTCAAGGTATTTAAATACCTTGTTATTGATGCTCTAGTTGTTTCAGTTTTGATAGTTGAGATTCTGCACATTGAGCCCTTTTGACATAAACCTAGGAATTTGTTATAACTTGTTTGTGTTCTGATATAACAAATGTTCTTGGGCATGTCTCATGTCTTTCTTCTACATAGAATTAGCCATTTCTCCAAGAAGCATTCTTTCATTAAAGGGAAGTATAGGAATCAGATCGACTACATCTGTGGAAGGAACC